AAAATTGATTTGTATAGATGAGCTAAAGTCTCAATTGAAGCTTCAACCCAATTGGAGAAATTAGTTATAGAGAAGATATTGTTCATTATGCCACATGCTAGCTTTGCTAATTGCCAAGCATGAGAGATAGGCTTGTGATCATCATCAAGATGGAGAATATTATTGATAATGGTGATAAGTTGGTTGATATCTTCTGATATTAATGGACATTTGAAGACATGTTTGTATATTCTCAGTATGTAAGCTATACCGGAAATAATATGGATCAAGATATCATTTTGGAAATAATCTGTGAAGATTTTCTCTTATGGAAAGAGTTTCTGAAAGCAATTTGATTCTAAAAGTGATAAGATTACTATATTTGTTAGCTCTAGAGCTTTTTATTTTTTTGTTTAATTTGTTAATGATTTTAAGACCATAGGATTTATAGATATATCTAAATGTTTTAAGAACTGAAAAACTTTTACAAATTATATAGGTCTTAGTAATGCTTAGGATTTTTTTGCACATTTGATGTTGCTACCTAGTTGTAAATTGTTAATTAGTGGATTTTTAGAAAAGTAAAGTGATGAATTGATCCATTGGAGAGTGTTATCAAATCTTGAATTGGATTTAGAATTGGTGGATCTATATTGAATTGATTTGTCTTATATTAATTTGTTGATTTTAACAATATTGGGGTAAAGTTGGTTTTTGTTATTTTTCTTGAATAATTAGAGACTTCTTAAAAAATTTTCTTGTTACTTTTTATTTCTATAATATATTGTAGTTTGATGAGCACCAGTGTAAGATATCCATTATTATATAAAGAAAGTCTTCTAATAGATGTTTTGGATTGGTTGGTATAATTTTTGTACTGTTCACAAAGATTTTGTTCTGATAAAGTTGAAAATAGTACTGTTAATAAAAGCCAATTCTTTAAAGTACTAATATGGAAGAAAAGATAAAAAAGTTGTTAACAAATTGAAGAATATTTTTTCCTTGCTATGGTATAATGAACAGTTCACTGATTATGTTGTATAATCAATGTTTGCTTGTGTTGTTAAAATTCGAGACTATTCACAATAAAAATAATGTGAAGCTTGTAAATGACTATATATAGAAACCAGCCGAGTATAATTCTATTGAACAATTATTGCATCTGGACAAGGTAAGCAAAGAGAAATATATATTGTATTAATAATGATTATAATCTTGTTCTACAAGTTTAAAGTTATAATTAATAAAAATATAATATAATAGCCATTTGTTTCTTAAAAAAAAAAAAATTATAAATAAGTTTTTTATAATATATAAATTAATTTTATAAAAATAATTTTTAAAAAATTTTATATTTTATATTAAATTTTGATAAATTTATTTAATTAAAAAATTAATTAATTAACTTAAATTTAATAAATTAATAAAAATGAATTTTATTTTTATTTTACAAATTAATAATTAAAATTATTATAAATAATTTATTTATTTATTTATTATAATTTAATTAAATTAATATTTTTTAAAATTTTTGTTTTAATATAACAATGAATTTTAATAAATTTATTAATATATATTTAAATTTTGGTTTATTTTATTAATTATTTATTGAATTACAAATAAAAATATAAATTAAAGAATTTGTCCAAAAACTTTTTAGACAAGTTGTATTTGTTTTTTATATTTGTTTTAATGCATTATATTATGCTCGTTATAATAAAAATATTTTATTAATTATAAATAGTTTATGATGTGTTAACATGAAATATTAACTTATTTGTAAATATAAATCACAGTTATTTAAAAAAAATAGCAAAAACAAAAAGACTAGGAAATTATTGAAGTAGAATGGTAATCAAGGAAACACGAGTCCCGAAGTAGCAAGGCACATATACAGTATTAGCAAAATCGAGAATATGCATAATAACGTAATCAAAAATGAATCCACATACATACGGAAGGCGTTTTTCTAAACGGGTCAATGGTTCCGTTGTAATTTCTGAGTTGCATAAACATGCGCTGTATATTTCGCGTAAGTACGTATAAATAATTAACGTAATGAATTACCTTCATGTTGTACAATATCTTTAGCATGTACGCTTGCCCCTCAGAATAAAGCTACCTAAAAAGTCATTTCTTCTCATATAAAACACAATATATAAACTCGTTTTTTTTTAAAAAATTTTATTTTTTTTAATTTTTTTTTCTTGAGGATTATTATCTTTAAAACTTTAGACTCTTTGAACAGTTCTTATAATTTAGCCGTTTTTTAAAAAAATCTTTAAATTTTCATAGTGATATATATGTAAACAATGTCTCTTCCTTCCATTCAAAGAGTCCTTCTCGAATCCGTCGCAGAAGCCGACATAGATGGTCGTTTTGTAATTGTTAACAACATTCAAACATATTACAAACTTGCAATTCCTCAACAACATCAAATCTTCCTTCAAAATCAGATGCCCTTGCCCAACGAACCTCACAAACCTGTGATCCTTTGTCTTCATCATATGCTCGGGAATCTATACACCTGGAGAAATATTATACAGCCTTTGGCTGATGCCACAGGTTGTCATGTTATATCCTATGATAGGATATCATTTGGGTTTACTGAAAGACCAACGCAATGGGAAGAAAACAATAATCCTTACACTCAAGAGGCAAATGTTGAATTTGTCGTCCAATTTCTGGAACAATTGGGATATGGAGGAAGAAAAGTTGTGTTTATGGGAGTTTCTTCGGGAGCCTCGATAAGTTGTGCGCTTGCCATAAAATATCCTCACATAGTACATTCTTTAATTTTGCTTGGACCAGCTATTAGACATGAAGACCAAGGTATTTGAGGAAATACGTTTTGTGTTAAATCCATATTAACAATAATTAGATATGTGCTTACTGTTACGTGGTTGTAGGGCCACCATCAATGGCGCGTCACATTTTGGGTTCATTACCTGGTCGTCTTTACCTTAAGGCTATATTGTACCGATCCCTCCCATACACAAAATTATATCACAATCCTGAATCGATTCCCGATTGGGAATCAGTCATGAAGCCGTCTTATCGTGCCCCTCTTACGCTACCGAACTTTTATGAAGCATTCTCGTGGTTAATGAAATATTTTCAACCTTTGGAAATTCTTGGTTATAAACACATCTTGCAACAATTACCAATATGTTATATAACGGGAGATGACGATAAGTATACACATTTGGACATACACAAACAAGTATTTAATGAGTTAAAGCTGAATGCACCCGAGAATGCGATGATGGAATTTTACGTGCTAGATAAATGTGGCCATTTACCCCAAGATGAGGTTCCTCTACAAGTTTTAGATGTGACAATTAATTTTATCAAAAGAATTGGTATCTAATATTAATGAAAAAACATTCTTTAAAATGCATCATCTTTATACAACTACAAACGTTCCTTTCGACATTGTCGATTCTTCGACCTAGTTCTCTTCGCGCGTGATACAAATATCTAAAAATTATAATATTATTACTTCATAATTACATATAACATAATTTTCTTTAATTGGGCTTGAACATCTCAAAATAACTAATAAAGAAAATATGCGTGACATGTTTCCTGCTTAAAAAAGTTTTAAGATCCTTAATAAAAATGATACATGATATAGTAATATACAGGTAAGATCAAAGAACCTCCAGTAACAAACCAATCGGATATCTATTAAGTGGATACAGGCCTAGCTAGGTATAGATTAATAATCAAAGTCTAGACTCCGACAATTACTTGGTATGTCAAATGCAAGCTTAGGTGGCTTTTAATTGGTTACATAGAATGCAAAGAAATAAAGTTTGTTTATTTGCAACAAACCTTATTCACATACGCATGGATAATTATAATTCCTGCGATGATTTTCAAAACAAGAAAGCATCGAAATTTATAATTTAATCTTATTGAATTTCATTAAAAATTATAAACTTCTAATAAAAGAAAATAAAAATAATAGTTTTAAAGGTTTTGTATTAAATTATACAGTTTGTTTAAAAAGTTTTTGAACAAATTTCTAATTTATATTTTTATTTGATTCAATAGATAATTAATAAAATAAAACAAAAATTTAAATGTAATTCTTTCTATTAATTTTTTTGCCATTTTCAAAAATAGATATTTCTAAAGAATTTTATATTTTCAATAATAAAGTTCAAACATTTTCTTTAACAACATGTATTCCTGAAGGCAAAAGCTTTTTCTACTTGTTTGATTTTTCTTTTTCAAAAATTTCTTAAATATTTTAATAACAAAATATTCAAGGTTTTAATTATTTAGTTCCTAGCAGAAACATTTTATTAAAAAAAAGAAATCTATTAAAAAGTATTTTTTCTTTACTCTTCTTTTGAATCTAGAATTCTAGAAAAGTTCACTAGTAAATATATTTCTTAAGTTTTATAAGAATCTTAAATCTATTATAAATAAAATCTTTAATTAAAGTAAATAGATAAGTTAATATTTTAATTTATAAATATGGATATATAATTTTTTTTATCAATTAAATATTTACAATAGTTCTCTTAAGCATATTAACAATTTTTTTTTAAAATTTGCTTATTTCAGTTTGATATTAAAATTTTTATTATATTGAAATCTCTAGTTAATAATTGGTTAAATTTTAAAATTGGTTAATTAATATATAACAAAAATATAAACAAGATAAGTACTTTATATATATTTTTTATTATACAATATTACAATAATAATATAATTAAAAAAAATAGAAAAGCAAGATATTATAATATTCTTTTGATTAGAAGTAATTTGATAATTTTTTTTTCAAGATTAAAAAAATATTTTTATTACTGGATTAAAGCATTAACAGAATTTTTAATTTAATTATACAATTCAATTTGAAAACCATAATATAATACTGTCAACATCTTATTCCTTACTAATATTAAATAAAAACTAAACAAGCCATCAAGTATTGCCAACTTAACCAGATCAAGAAAAAACTGTATTACTTTTACAGAAAGTTCATACTCCAACATCACTCAAAACAAGATTATCATCAACTTATCAATAATAATCACACTCTTTTATTCAATATAATTATAATTCTATCAAATGTATTTAAAATTTAATATTATTTTTTCCAAATACTATTATTTCTTTTAACTGAGTAGAAATTCATAGCTACTTGATACCACATGGCAGAATATATTGTTTTAAATTTTCTTTTCAATATTAGTCATATGGTTACTATAGGCAAGCTAGCATTTAATTCATTGTATCAACATATGAGAGATATTATTTTTTTTTTATGATATATATTTTGTTATATACAAATAAAATAAAGAAATAATATTTTACCTACAATATATATATATATTTATTTATTTATTAAATTAATATAGACCTGTGAATCTATAGTGTAGTGGTTAACACTTCACAGGTCAAATCACAAGATACCAGTTCAACCCCATGTAAAGGCAGTTGAATAGAATTAATATGGTATCTGGTGCCATAACCTATATAAGCGCTGTTTCTCATGAGAAGCCGTATCACACGCTAATCCAGTGGGTGTTGAGATTGTGATTTCCAGAAAAGGTGTCATGGTGTGACAATTGTCTGGTTGATATTATAATGATCGTTGAAAGTTGTAAAATGTATAAGGTGTCTGTTTTTGGTAAAGATGGCTTGGTGATCATTTTCCCATAGTACCTGGTGTCTCTTTCTACAAGTTTCCAGAAAGGCCTTATTCCAATCCAGTAATAGATCACTTTGACAATTATCTATCCTGAGAAGGCAACCAAAACAACATTAAGTACCAATAGTTGAAACAATCTATGGGTCATAAGTTTGTGAGATAAGTTCCTTGAACGTTCTTGGGTAGCTCTAGGAAGGTGAAAATTAAATGGACGCCCATATGCAGATGGTCAGGTTTAGAAGGATTCTCTTTACAGTGGTTCTATTCGCCAAAGAATAAATACTATCTCCAGTTTTCCACATTCAAACTTCCCTTTTAAATTCACACAGTACCAAATAGAACATAATGATATAATAACAATACTAATAGGGCTTTGGCATGTTAGCCTCAGCACAACCCTTTTGAAGTGATGCTGACAGCAACAAGCCGATATGGGGTAAGTCCGATATAGCCTAGCAATATATGGAATTATTTATAGATAGTAGTTCCTGTAATACATGAATTATATATGTGAATAAAATAATAAAATATGCCAAGCAAGGCCCAGCTGGTTGATTTAAAAAAAAAAAATTTTTATTAAATTAATAATTAATTTAAAAAAATTTTATTTATCAATATAAACTTTTGTTTTTGTTTTTTTTTATCTTTTAAAATTATTATTATTTTTTTTTTTTAATCCTGCAATTAGGTTG